TTACCGGTCATCTTTTAAAAAAAAAATAAAATAAAAATGGCAGCCTTTCTTTAATATAGCCATACTGACACCATTCCTCTAGAATACCTGTTGACAAAGTGCTAACAGAATCACCCACCTGAAGCCTGGATTCACTCCATCAGTAACACTAGCAACAGCAACACTGGGTTACTATTAAACGTCTAGTAAACACGTCCTCGCCTGGCCTCTGGGACTCTACCCTTTATTCGTTTCCCTTCTACACCACCGGCCTCTCCTTCTTCATGTATTTTTCTGGTTCCTCTTCATCTTCCTGATGTCCAGGACTCAGTCCTTCTCTCTGTCCTAGCTCACACCCCAGATAACCTCATCCAGGCTCATGGCTTTCAGATACATCTCTCTATGCTGACTGCTTCTAAATTTATATCTCTAGCCCTGCCCTGGCCCCTGAACTCCAGATTTGAATACCCACCTGCCAAGTCACAACTTTGACCTGGACATCTAATAGACATGGCCAACATAATATCCAAAATTAAACCTTTATTTTCCCCCCAAATCTGCTACTTCCACAGCCTTCCCTAGCTTAATAAATGACACCTCCGTCCTCCCGCTGCTCAGACTGAAACCAGACTAAGGAGTCTTCCTCGATGTGTTTCTTTTACTCACGGTCCACGTTCAATATGTCACAAATCCTGTAGCCTCTGCCTTTATCACTGCCCCTGCTGCCACCATTCCTAGCCACTGACGTCCAGACCATGGCTACCAGGCCTCTCGTGATCTGGCCCACTGCCACCTCCCTGGCTTCATCTCCTGCCACTCCTCCCTCCTCTGGCTCCCGCCACACTGGCCTTCTTGCTGCTGCTCAGTCACCAAGCCCACTCCTGCCCTGAGGCCTTTGCGCTGCTGTGCTCTTGCCTGGAATTCTCTTCCCAGGCACTCACGGAGCTGGCTCTCTTTTCCTTCCGGTCTCTGTTCAGAGGTCACCTCCTCAGTAAGGCTTCCCCAGACCACCAGGATTAAGACAGCAAGCCTCCCACCTCCCACACTCTAGATTCCACCTCTTTGCGTTTCTTTCATAGCACTTGTCACCGTCTGGCATATCGTGTGTGTGTGTGTGTGTGTGTGTGTGTACACATATAAAAATAAAATATCACATAATTCTTGGTTGCTTGTCATCTGCCTCTCCCCTCTAGAATATAAAACTCCATGAGGAAGGAGAATTTGTCTGCATTGTTTACTGCGAGTCCGGCATATAGAACAGTGCTTGGCACCTAGTTGGTTAGTTACTGAAGCTTTTGAATGAATGAGACTTAAGGAGGCTAAATTAGTTACCCAAGGCCACACAACTAGGAAATGTAGAAACTCAGAGGCTAACTAAGTTGCCACAGAGTGAGGGGCAAAGCTGGGACTCAAGGCCAGGTCTGAATTAACCACGGGGGTGACTGCGGAGCTTTCCACGTCTCCAGCCCCACAAGGCCAACCACCTGTCAATCACTCCCCACGTGCATTTACCCAGTGGCCGCCTTCCTGAGCAGTATCTCACCCCTCAGTCTCTCCCTACTTCAATCCATTCTTTAGAAAGCATATACAGCTTATATTCTTTGTGTAAGTATAGCATAATACCTGCTCAGCCTACGAAATAGAAAAATGTATTTAAAATGTAGAAAGAAGGGCCGGCCCGTGGCTCACTCGGGAGAATGCAGTGCTGACAACACCAAGTCAAGGGTTGAGATCCCCTTACCGGTCATCTTTTTTAAAAAAAATAAATAAATAAAATGTAGAAAGAAGGGCCGCCCCGTGGCTCACTCGGGAGAATGCAGTGCTGACAACACCAAGTCAAGGGTTGAGATCCCCTTACCGGTCATCTTTTTTAAAAAAAATAAATAAATAAAATGTAGAAAGAAAAAAATTACCAGTCATCCAGTATCCAGAGAACACCATGATTACCATGCTGTTATTTTATTCCAGTCAGTCTATTCTATGACATTTGCACATAATAGAGATCACTATAATCCGGGCCACTAGTCACAAATCCTTGGCTCTAATCCAAACATAAGAGGACTGAGGGTGTAGGATGGACATAGAAAGACAGACAGGCTTTGGCTAGAAGAAACAAAGAGAGGAGGTCTCCCCAGGCAGGCGACAGACAAGCAGGAATGGGCCAGGAGAATCGGAAGGAGGGGTGTGGAGGCAGGTGGGGGAGCGGTCTCAGCCGGAACTCTGGGCAAAGCGAGAGGTGACACAGGTGGGAGGCAGGCGTGGAGACCTACGAACAGTTGCTGAGGCTGAGGAGTTTGGATCAGATAAGGAGGCCTGCATAGACTCCTGCGTGTGGGGTGAAGACACTGGAGGTAGGGAGGCCACTTAGGGATGAGAAAAGGGTCTTGTTAGAGATATGTCAGAGGCGGAAGCAACAGAAGGTGGAGGTCTTCAGAGGAGTCGCAGATCACTCCCCAGGTGAGTGGCCGAGTGCCTGGGGGAAAGGTGGTGGCTCTGTGGAGACTCAGGCAAAAGGAAAGGGGCCTGCTGGGCTCAATCCTGGATGGTGAGAATCAGCTGGGAGCAGGGCTACAAGCTGCGATGTCCTAGAGATGTTCAACACAGATGTTTCCCTGAGGAGACACTGGTGTGGGAAACAAAGGGTGGAGGGATGACCCTTCTCCAGCCAAGACCCCCTGTAGACTTTCCACTGCCCCCAGACCGAGCCTGCACTCACCTGCTTGGTGCACAGGGCCCACTACATGCCTGGCCTTCTTACCCCCTCCTGCCTTCCCAGCCTCCCCTCGGGAAGGCCCTCCATTTTCAGCAGACTGTGCCTTCTCCAGCGCTAACATCTCACGCTGCACCACTCGCCATGCCTCAACGTGCAGGGCTGTCATCTTCCCTGTGGATTTCCCATGTCTTCCTCCCCAACTGCATCACCAGCTCCGGGGCATCCGGTGCCTGGAGCCACAGCAGTGGGGGCGCAGCACGACACCCACAAGCACCCCTTGACTTGACTTCCTTTTTCCACTCTTCTCCCACCACCCAATTCCCGACTCCAGCAGCTTTACTTCCCACCAATGGCCAAGCTTGACTCTGAGTTGCCCGTAACCTTGGAGTATTTGTGTCAAACATTGCTGATTAGGGCAGACTTAACCTTATAAGGTTAAGTGTCTAGTACAGACTCCTCCAGTAACTACCTAGAGCGGCTTTAATGTGCTGACACTTTGCCCGGGGTTCTTGCTTAAATGTAGACTCTGCCCCATAGATATGTACAATCAACCATGTTCCAATAATTAATTAATTTAAAAAAAATAAATGTAGATGCTGGTTTAGTGGGCCAGGGATGAGCTGGAGATCCAGCTTTCTAACGAGCTGTCAGATGATACTGATGGACCACACCTTGAGTAACAAGGACATGGGTGACTTTAGGTAGTCAGTTTAATCTCTCTTGATCCTAGTTTTCTCATCCACCAAATAGGACTCTTCAGTGGGTTACCACGGGATCAAATGAGTCAGTGTTTGTAAAAATAAAGTAAAAACTAAAGGTGCCGAACAAATGGTAGATCACCATCTGTCTCATGGGTTGCTGCCAGGATAAATGTGATGGAACACACAAAAAGCCTGGCTGGCCTAGCAGGTGTGCAATGTTAGTTGCTCCTCCTCCAGAGGCTCCAAAGTCCAATGCACAATGGTCTGATACCCAGTAGGGCGACTAGGAAGAGACCATTTTCAAATTTCAGGCAAATAAGGGATCACCCTGAGCTCAGGTGGAGACAGGAGGATGGAAAGGAGAGATTGCCTTAGGGTGCACATTTTCCACAAAGCCTGGCCATGACACCTGAGAAAACACAAGTCTGGGCCTTTCCAGGGGAACACCACCCCCAACCCAGCAAGCAAAACTTTGTAGAGGCCAATCTGTCCTGTGAGCCCTGCCTACTCAGCCCCTGGGTCTGCCCTTGGCTCAGGGCTTCAAAAATTCTTATGCTCACTCTGCTTACCTGATCCACTGTCACTCTGGAAAGCTGGCATTGGCCTTGACCATGTCTCCTGTTGATCCCCTCCTGTTGGCCCCATTGGCTCCACGACATGACCACTTTTGGTGTTTGTAGCAGACTTCCACACTGACACCAGCCTATGCCAAGTGGGCTCCATTCTGCCTGATCTGTGTGTCAGTTTTACACCCACAACCATCTCACAGACAGATAGAATGGATGAGTGTAGAAGCCATTACCAGCAGCCGGTGACTGTGCTGTGGTGAGTAACCAGGAACCTGTGCCAAGGGAGAGGTAGGAGCTGAAAATAATTCCTAGGTTTCAAGCCTTGGATGTAGAAGAATGATGACGTCAATTTGGAGTATTGGGTTTTGGGCCATCTTTGGTGAGACGACAGAATGGAACTGTCCCTCAGGCAGGTGGAAGTGTGGGACTGAAGGTCACCAGAGAGGTCAGGCAGGGGTGAAGGGTCTAGAGATATCCATAGAGATGTAATTGCTGAATTGAATCTGTGTAGAGAGAAAAGGGCAGAAGACTGAAGATTAGACATCTGGAAACATCTCTGCCCACCCAAGTAGCCAGTTATTTCCCAGGAGATGAGAGACAGCGTTATGAGCAGCTTCTTCCCTGATGGGAGCCAGCAAGTGGATTTCTCAGACTTCATCAGGGCCCTGGCTCATTTTCAATCTGAAGATGATGAAGACATAGGAACCTGAGGTCTCCCAGCACCTGAACCTCTCAACAGCAGAATGAACAAACTCCACTTTGCATTTCAGCTCTATGACCTGGATTGAGACAGAAAGGTCTCCGGGCATGAGATGTTACAGGTTCTGCAGTGATGGTTGGGGTACATGTCACAGAAGAGCACTGGAGAGCGTCACAGACCACGTGGTGAAGGAGGCCAGTGAAGATGGGGATGGGGCTTTGTCCTTGGTGTTCACCAGGTCCTTACAGATGACAAACACTGAGCAGGAAATGAGCATCCTGATCCTGAAGTGACTCCCTTCGTGCCTTTGGCTAGCTCACGCAGGCCAGTATCTGCTCGGGATTTATCCTCAGCCCCTGTGGAGGCAGGACCCCAATAAACTCCATTCTTACCTCTAAACTGAACTCTATTTAGGGCCAAGGAAAGAAAGCTGGAAGGGTATGTACTAAAGTCTAGCTCACTTGATCTCAGATCTGTGAAGAAGCCAGCAATCTTTTGGTTGCCAGTGACTGAAAACATGACTCAGAGTGACTTAGGTATAAAAAAGAGATTTTATAGGCTTATGTAATTAAAAAGTCTGGAAGTATCTGCCTTCAGGCACAGCTGGATCCAAGGGCACAAATGACGTTCTCAGGACTCAGTTATTCTCTCTCTCTCAACCCGGCTTTCATCTGTGTTGGCTTTGTTCTCATGAGGGCTCTTTCCTTGGGGCAGAGAATGGCCACCAGCAGCTCCAGGCTTCCTAGTAACCCAGTGGGAAGAGATTTTCTTATTTGAATAATTCCAAGGAAAGAGGGTCATTGGCCCAACCAGGGTATTGTCCCTATCTCCAGGGGAATGGAACACTGTAATTGGCCAGACTTGTGTCATGTGCTAATTCCTAGAGCTAGGAAATAAGGTCTGAGGACTTAGGATGGGGTGAGAGGTGGTGGCATAATGGAAAATGAGGTACAATTATTAGAAGAAGGGGAAATGATGCTGTTCAGGCAACAAGAGATGTCCATTGCTGTTTGGTTGACCAAATGGAGGGACTCCTGAAGTCTGGCCTCTTAAATGGGTTTTCACTGATCCTATGGGGACATGCCAGTGTGATGGGGGTTGGTGGGGGCGGGGAGAGATGATATAAAATTAACAAACTATACGTGCCTTCAAAAGAAATTCCCAGAGAAGGTCATTTTGATGAGATTCTCAGACTATTCTCTCTCAGGTCCCACAAATGGTTTCCATCCTGGCCCTCTCATAGAGAGGGGTACAGAGCGGCAGGCCAGAGGGCAGTTGATCCTGGGTCCCACTTGCACAACAGGTCTCAAATTTAGATTCTTGATGTAATTTCCAAATAGGCTTATACCCACAGTCACAGAGGGGCCCTTTCTTCTTCCTGATCCAGTCTATTAGCAGCGAGAATTAGAAGTTTCCTGTGGACTTCAAGCTCCAAGCCCAGGAACTGAGGGGCCTTTTCTCCTCCTGCCCCTCCCCTTTGCTTCTGCTCTCATTATGAGCGACCAACAAGATGGGGAGAAAAGAAAGAGCCCTGGACTTGGAACCAGAGCCCCCAGATTTTAATCCCCTATCTTCTAGCTGTAGTAGATCCTAAGGGACTATCTGTCTAGAGTCCCTTTTCAAGGGACTTACCTTCCCCATCTCCATGACCACGGGAACTGCTATGTTTATAAAATACGACTCGGCTCCCCTTTTCACAACATTGGTCCTAGTTGCAAAAGGTGTCTACTCCCAGACCAGTCATGGCACTTTCAAAAATTTATTGCTCTAGGGGGAACACCCAACTCAAACTGACCAATGTGCCACTTCCTAGGGTTTTTGGACTCAAGTTTGAGAGTCAAATGTCTTTCTTTATGTAAAATTTAAAACAACAAAAAGTCAGCAGAAACCAATTATTATTTCCCTCCTGGAACCCTCTAAAATGACAATAGAGGAATTTGTAAATAGGCATAAATGAATAGAAACAAAGGGAACCTGGGAGGAAACACAGCAACAAAAATTTGGAAGCAAGATATCAGTGGTAACTGAGTTAGAAGTCCTGAGAAGACAGAATCCTGCCAGCTATAGAAAAAACCAGGAAGCATCCTGTTTACAACACAGAACTCTCCAGAAGGCTGGGGATTGAAGACATCAGGTATCACTCAAAGTAATATTAAAAGGGGACTAAAAATAGGAGGACTGATTAAATGCCTATTTAAGTTATACTCCCAATCCCTCTCCACTGTCCTTTAGTGAATGACTGACTGTCCCTCCTCCACCCCAGCAAAAGACACTAGAGACTCACTAGGAAAGGATAAAATGGATTTTCTGGACTGGGAAACATGAGTCACGGTTGAGGGCACAGGCATCATATTGGAAACAGGGGTTTTAAGTAGGGTAGCCCCACACGCTAATTGAGGATACGACATCTCCCTTGGACACTAGAGACTCACTAGGAAAGGATAAAATGGATTTTCTGGACTGGGAAACATGAGTCACAATTGAGGGCACAGGCATCATATTGGAAACAGGGGTTTTAAGTAGGGTAGCCCCACACGCTAATTGAGGATACGACATCTCCCTTGCCCCACTCAGCAACCAGAACTCTGGCAATCAGACTTATTCCCTCTGGACAGGAAATTAGAAGAAACTTTCCCAGGGAATCTGATCAAGACAAAAAAATGAAAATGAAAAGCCCTACAGATACTGACATTAGAGGTTTCCCAATCAATTGGCCCAGCCAGATCACTCTACAGTGAAGTCCCCAGTTGACAAGCCCCCTGCCCCATATGGACATGGGGCTTCCAATTAACTTTTCCATGACCCACTCTTAAATATGTTTGCAGATAAGAAGTCCCAAGGACGGTGACCAAGTGAGATTCCAAGACTGCCCTGTGTAACAGGCCTAAAGAGCAGCCTGTACAGACCGGATCAGGTCAAAGGCCCTGGGAGAGATGTCTTCAAGATGATGAAACTGATGGAACGCTGATTGCGTTTGAACATATTGAGAAGAGATTTATACCACTCTGGGAGGCAGGGGGCAGTTGGGGTTGAATTAGCAATAAGTACATAGAAAATCAGGCAAACAAAAAAAATGAGACTTCAGTAATTCTGTGGATAACAGAATTGTTCAGGAAAGGAAACATAATCCATTGGGATGATTAGGAGACTGAGGGTGGGGGTGGGGGGCAGGGTGTGGTCTGTGGAATGTCAGTCCTCACCTTCCACAAGAAGAAGTCAATACATAGCACCCAAAACTCTTTCATGGATGCCAGGGGCAACATTGCTCACTCTCCAATAAATTCCCCCTTTTTGCTTAAGCTACTCAGAGTTGTCTTCTATTGCTTGCAGCTGAATGAATCATGGCTAATATGTTAGCTATCTGATCTCTGGCTAGTCACTTCCCATCCTTAGGCCGTGGGCTCCTCACCCATGTAACAAGCCTCTATTCTTTGATTCTACACGCCTTTCAGCAGTCAACCTTTTTCACCTCCTCTCTCCAATCCTACGCAGCCTTCCTACCGGCATCTGCCACACCCTTTTACCAAAACTCCACTTCCTTCGTGGGCTGTGCCCTGGCCCTATTGTGTCACAGTGAAGATGTTGAAAAACCCAGAGGGAGCCTGCCTAGGCAGTCCCTGGGGGAAGGGCTGGGGGAACGCGGAGCTCTAAGTTTGTAGCCTTTAGATGTGATTCTACCACTCCCCAATTTTGGACTTTGAGCTGTAATCGTCTACACTTAAAATTGCAAATCGATTTTTTTACCGTTTATATTCTACTTACATCTTAGGCAAATTTGAGTCAACTTTACAAAATTAATAAAATATAAACAAAGATGATTAAAACATAAAGACAGACCAAAACTCAAGTAAAAGGGTCAGAGAAATGAATGTTTAAAGGAACCTGTGATGATAAATTGATGTCGTGAAGTGCTAAATCTTGTTCCAAGTTTGTTGGTAAGAAATCATGTAATTTTGGCATTATTTCATATTTAACAAATATGTATTGAGTACTGAATCAATCAAGTTTATATTTGGTTATGTATAACAGAAAAAAAAGCTATAAACAGTGCATTTCTTTTGATGGTAAAAGAAGTCTAGAAGTAGGGAAACCAGCGTTATGTGGAACCTTTCTGGTCATCTTGGACCTGAGAGCCCTGATTGTTCTATATGGCTTTTCAAGCTGCCGCAATCATATTCGCATTCCAGAAAGAAGGAAAGACGAAAAGGGAAGAGAATATTTCCCTTCTGTTTTAAGGAGACTTCCAGGAAGTCGCACCTAATACCTTTGCATACATTTTAAGGCCTTCAGCTTTATCTCACAGACACACGTAGCTACAGAGGAATCTGGGTGGATTTCTGGGTGCAGTCTTTTAACTGGTGCATTTCTGCTCCAGACAGGATCATGAATGAATGCCGAGGTAGGCAGCTAGCAGTTTCTGCGATAAGCACTTGCTATGTGGCAGCTGCTTCTGGGCCTGAGAGATACGAAGGTGAAGATGATACAGTCAGTCCTTGCTCTTGAGTAATCCACAATTTTGGGGAAGGTCCTAATGATCAACTGGATATTATACAATTAGGAAAAACATTTTGTAAAGATGAGAACAAAGAATTGTGGGAGGAGAAATGAGGTAGCAAGAAGTTCTGTCTAAGAGATGCGGGGATCCATAGAGAAGGTGACAATGAAGCTTAAACAGAACAGAAATTCAGAGCAGAGGAGGGAGCATTCCAGGTACAGGAAAGAGTGTGGACTAAGGCAAGCATTAAAACAGATAGATTCTTTGGGGGAGTTTTGATTAGTTTTACAT